TATTTCTAGTGCTCACAGAAAATTCTTATTTTTAGCTTGTTGCTTAAAATAGCTCTTTGGAATTTGAGTATATATTTAATATTTAACATGTATGATAAATATATTTAAGAAGGATAAATATAGGTATTTACATTAATATTTTTGTTATTCAGAGTCTCTATAAATTAGGCTAAATATAGGGATATATTATTGAAATGGCATAGAAATATTTACAATGAACCATGTAAATGATTCATGAGAGTAGAATGAATCTGACATAACTTTCCTATGTTCGTATATGAATACACCACCAGGGAAACGCCATATCATGTATAACCATAAGAATGGGATCTTAATTAGTAAAATTTATACTCCATGTATACATATGTCAAAATATAATCTATTGTTATATATATATATCAAATAAATTTCAAAAACAAATATTTACAACCACTCACTTTTCAAAAAGATATATATGAGCTTGTAGTAAAGGATATATTTCCAAAGAAAAGATTCTCTACATTTTTATACATGCACATAAACATGTTTAAGTAGGTAGTTATAAAAATAATTGAGTTAGATGTATAAAGGAATAAAACAGGAGAGAGAGAGAGACAAAGAAGGAAGACAAAGAGAAAGAGAAAGAATAGGAAAGGAAGTGGGAAGATTGGCCAAGAAAAAGTCAGCTAATCATGGTTTAACTATTAGTCCATTTAATCTTAGTTTAGGCTTGCACAGAATCTTGTCACTGTTCTCATCTGACAGTTTTGCCACTTTTGAACTGTTCTCGAGGCATATCTTTCTCAATTAAATCCTGTATGACAATGATTTTTATTTTAGATGATAAATGTATGAGGAACTGGCTTGGTGTTTCTCTTACATACCGACTGCACTGAAACAAGGAGACCCACAGTGGTGTAGTACTTTTTGGAACATCAATCATACACGATGCTGTAAAGAAAGTCTTGACTGGTTGTAGTCAATGTCACCAATGTCATCACTCTAACCTGTGCTCATCTGAATGCAGGCATTTTTTCCTGCAATGGAGATTTCATTTCACGTCACCCTCAACCCAGTCACACCTCAGTCATATTGTTTGCACATTCACTGTTATAATAAGAATTCTAGTAAAGCATCTCAGGACATATTATCCTGATTAGATTTTTCCCTCTCAGAAAGGAAACATGAGTATTTGTAGGAATCTCTAATTTAGAGTTAACTTTACAATTAACTATAAGCTCATAACTTCTTTCTAAAAAGTAAGCACTTTTAAATACTGATATGACTTTTCAACATATTTTAGCCTTTTTCATACTCATTAGCAGATGAAAAAACAAAGGATAGAAATATTGTGTGATATTCCCATTATTCTTCTAAAACTTGTGAACAGAATTCAGTTACACATTTCATTATTAGATTTAGAAAGTCTCTTTTCCAACCTCAGTTGTCAGATTAAAGTGAGACAAGGCAAATTTTTGAGCAAATTTAACAATTGAAATAATTTGCTTTGAATTATCAAAATACTTTTCTTAAAATCATGTTTTGCCCTGTAACTCAATCATTAGATTATTGCTTTGATACTTTCTGTTGGGCTTCAGAAATCTAGCCCAGTCAATGTCTTCTAATCAAAAGATTCTTTTTACATATTTCAAAATTACACAAAATGAAAGAGGTTAATTTCTTAAGAAATAATTTATAAAAGTAAACTTATTTAGAATAATTAACTTGAGGTTTTATAGAGTTCTAGTCTAATTTTTTTTTTTCGATTTAAATTAGAAAGATCTACAGAAGCATGTTTTTTCAGATAGGGCAGAGAGTGAGAAAATACCTGAGAACTATATAATGGTAAAAAAATTACAACCAAAATTCATAATAGGCATTTAATAATATATTTGCTATTTACTATATACTTGTAGGGTAACCTTTCTGAGTTTCAGTTTTACACTTTTTTTAAAAATAGACTCTTGAATAATACTATGTTGAGGATCCCTATATGTTCTAAAAGCCCATAATTTAAATGAACTCCACATCTAAATCTAATAAAGACAAATAAATAACTTTTTTTCTAACAAAGAAGAATAGCTGCAATTATTCCCAGAGTAACATTTTCAGGAAGTGAATTCAAGCTAGATGTGGTTGAATTACTAAATGGCTGAATTTGCAAATGTGGGCGATAATTAAATCGTTACGCTCAACCCTTATTAAATATTAATGAATTCTCCATGACTTTGAATCAGAAGGGTTTTCTACATGAGGGGTTCTGACCCAGCTGTCTGAATGATGAATCATATCCCCCTCTGAGGTGGTCTTCTCAAGCTCCAAGGTACTCATAGGCCCTACCAGGAAATTTAACTGTGGTTAACGGTGTTATACTTGGCTTTTAATAAAAAATGGAGGGGGGGGACTTTTAATATTGATATCACCATGTTTTTGCCTGCAAGAGCAAAAAATTTTCTCCAAGGAAGAGTTCGACATTAAAAAAAAATAATAATAATGCCCTCAGCCAAGGCTCCAGTCATCTGAATGCACTCACCCTTTCTGTGGCTTTCAATCTGGCTGCAGACATGCCAGGACCAAGGATCAGAGCTGCATCTGGGTAGCAGGAGCTGGTCAGCATAGGCCCTCCACCCCCTTTTGTTGTTTGTTTTTGTAACACATGTTAGGCACCAAAGAGACAAACGAGGATAAAATGGCTCTCTCCTTTTACATCTGGTTGTCTGCCAGAGATACACAGTCCAACCAAAACATCAGATTTCAATGTTCCAACTGCTGAGGAACCCCCACCTTCTTGTTCTCTGTCCACTACCATTCTTCTTTACAAATATTTTTCCACCAATGAGCATAATGTAATACAATTTCTACATAACCCTTTCCCAACTCCCAGTCATTAATATAGTATTTGTGAGATACTTTTTGCCTTATTTCATAGGAATATAGTCTGAAATGAGATATATGTTCACAATATTTTGAACTATTGAAAATTTAAAAATACGGATGGTCTTTGGTATACAAAAGAGATCTTATTCTATGAATTATTTAAAAAGTCTGTTGTTTGAGCTCAGAATACATTTCTCATAGAAATAACTTTAAAATGGTGAATGAGACTCCAGGTAAGAAAAAGGGAGCAGTGGGGAGAAAAGAGAGAACTCAACTATCATCTAATACATAATATTATTATTTTTTAACCCTGCAGGCAGACAGTTCTGTCCAGTACGTAATAGAAACTGAGAAACCCTTAAAAGCTGGGCAGCAGAGCAAAAGGCAAAGACTGTCTCTTTCATATCTGGGAACAGTGGGACAATAGGGACATGTTGGTGGCACCTGTGCATCTGAAGGTTCTGAAGGATGCCTGCTACTCTATGGCAGCATTGTCACGGCTTCCTCTTAAGAGGGTACAGGAGGCCACAAACTAAGGACAGTGTGGCCACCCTAGCTGCTGACATTTACAGAGAAATTGTAAATTTGGTGTTCTAAAGTAAGAGCTTGCCAAAAAATAATTAAACCCAGGTAGATAAAGAGTTTCGATTTGGAGGTATGGTTTGGAACTTGGAGATCTATTGGATACTTTCAATTGGCTTTGTGCATGTTACACTATATTAAAATAGTATAATTTCTTTTATTTAAATTTTTATCTTAAATATTTCCAAACACTCATAAAAATAGAAAAACAGAATGAATTTATGTCTCTTTTGCTCTTGTTCACAAATCAAGATTTTGCTTCATTTGCATAAATTATCCTTTTCTCTTTTACATTTTTATTGTCAAAATATTTTGAAGAAAATTTGGATCTTGTGTTATGTATTCCTCAGTTACACAACTCTTAAAACCAATTGCATTTTCATGCATAAAATCCTGTTTTAACTCCCAATAAAACCTTTTTATCATTTAATATTCTGATAATAATAAAATTTTCCCACTGCTTAAAATATCTTTTATGTATGATTTGTTCAAGTGGGTATTCAAACAGGGTTCATATATTATGTTTGGTTCTCTTAAACATGAGCATCTCCCTATTTTCCCCCTGCTCTCCTGACTTGTGACCAAATTCACAACAGAGTCATGTTTATCAGTGGCTATTTCATCCCCTTAAACACCACCTAATTTATTCCTGTTTTCCTCAAAAGTCACTTAAGTGGAAAATAATTCTAAAGGTGTTTTATTTTTTGAAATACCGTAACAAGAAATTGATTTATCATTACTCAATATTTGTATAACACATCAAGTGTCTTACATAAAGCTTACTGTACATTTTTAATGGCACCTATTTGTTTTCTATTATCTCAGGATTTTTGGACTGAGGAACAGGGTATTCCTCCTGAGAAATGTTGAGAGACCTTTAAAGAGTTAGGGACCAGATCTTGTTGTAAGTAACTTGACTTTCAACCAAACTTTGAATTACACCTGTAAGATGGAATTGTGGAAGGTTCATCTACAGGTAAAACTCCATTCAGAATTCCAGTTGAATAAGCATGATTACCCTAGTGTAATCAGTAATTACCAGAATAGAAAACTGTAGTTAGATGATTCATTGCAGGGTAGAACCAACCCAATGATGTTCTGCTAACATAAATAAAGCCATAGATGAAAAGTGAAAAACAAAGTAGCATGAAACTTGAAGGAAGTGTTCCTTGCCAATAGTGATGCATAAATATAGTAACCTTTGTAATCCCAGAAACATATCATTATCTACTTACTGTCATTTCCATGGTAAAGGTGAGAAAACTAAGGGATAAAATCTAAGCTATTTCTCCAAGATCACAGAGTTATAAGTGGTGGATTTAGGAACTGAACTGAGGCAGTCTTGCTCTTCACCATGTTACCATACTGCCTCTGGGAATGGAGTTGTGCAAACATTAGTCTCCTTATTGAACTCCAGGTGACAAGGAGACTTCTTCCTATTCTCTAATGTCAACCTCAAAATTTGGTATAATTCATAAACTGTGTGGGTTTTAAATGTATTTGTGTATTATAAACTCACTTAATAATAGCTATGTGTGGAAATATTTCTTTTGTTTAAACAGATCATCAATAACCTTGGTCCTTTGGAACTGATTCTTAATACTCCTAGCCATCATAGGGTTCATCATGGTAAGGAAGTTCTATTTCTTCTTTATTTCTTTAAAAATTCTATAATTGTTATTTTGTCTTGCTTCAATTCATGTAAATCTCCCATATAGTCAGCACACATTGTCTACATAGCTATATTTCTTCTGTTATACCTAGATCAGTCTCAGGTTTGAATCATGGTCTGTGGTGGGGCAGCACTTTCTCCATCTGGCTCTTGAATTCCCCCCTTTATTATATCTCAGTCTCCTTGTAGAGGGAAAATGTGTTAATCAGCTGAGGAGATAACATTGTATGTATTGAAGCAGTGTCTTGAAGGCTCAGTTCTGAAGGTCTTTTCTGTCTATAACCAGAGAGTACTTAGTCTTGAAAATTGTTGGGAGTTGTACAGAGTCTAATAAGCCACACTCCTCTCTCCTGCTGAACTCCTATAAACAAACTAAATATAAGCTTCATTTACCAGAGGAGCAAATCCCACGTGGCTAGTGCCTAATGTTTAGAAACAACAACTTAAATGATAATAGAAATGTTTACATTTGTGCACCAGGAGAACTATAAAGAATGTGCATATCAACATTATTTGTGATGCAAAAAAAATAATTCAAATGTTTATCAGCAGTACAAAAGGTAAATAAATTATAGAAAATTCATTTTTATCAATAAAAATGCTCAAATAATTGCTATATTCAATTGTATGATTAAATCTTACAAACATAATGTTGAGAGAAGAAAGCTAATAATAAAGGAATAAAAACTAAGCTTTGTTTTTAATATATCCAGGTTTCATAGGAGCACTGCAGTCCTGCCTTCTCAAGGGAGGTACATCCTTCCTCTAGAACAGGGGACAGAGCAGCACAAGCTCCCACAGGCAGAGGAGAGAATGGGTCACACTCTTCCAAATCCAACTGTCACTCTCCCATTCCCAAGGAAGAGTTAGAGGGGGAGAGGTCAAGAGCATTATATTCTTGCAGTTTCCTATGTATAGAAGGAAAAATAAGCAATGGAAAAAAACAAGTCTAGATTTAAAAACAAATAGCTGCTGGTTCCCTTTGTTTGACTTCACTTTCTTACTTCTACTGCTCTCTATCAGGGTTTCTCAACCTCACCATTGTGGACCAATACTTAGTTGGAGGGCTATTCTGGGCACTGGTTTCTGTGCATTAGGTGTCATTGCTGCTTCTTCTGAGCTGTATCTTTCAAGAATGTGTCCATATATTGTCAAATGTCCTTTGAGGGGCAAAACACTCCCTCATCCAAAAGAGAGCCATTGTTTAGACCATGTGATGGGTTGAGCGTCTTTACTGCCAATCTCATTCTATTTTTGCTGTGAGGAAGATTTTTGCTTTATCTATGCTTCAAATGTATATTTCCATGTAAGAAAAGCTTGTCAGGGAATGAGAACACGTGAAGATAGTTAAGTTTATTGGAGTAGTGGCTTGGTGGATTTCTATTCTTTTTTAGATTTGTATTCATAATGATATTATCATGTCAATTAAAAATATATTAAACAAATTGTAATTTGAGTACTTTGGATAAGGAAAAGCATCATATGTTAAATTAAAAAGGCCATAAGCAATTTAAATTTTACTTATGTCTTTTATTAATTAAATTATTAAAGTTATTTAAAATTAAACAAGATTTATTCTAATTTTCTTCTTAAACAGATGTAGAGAAAAGGACAAATGATGTGACACATCAAAAATTAAAAATAAAAAACATACATATATTATTTCCTTATTTCCCAGTTTTCTCTGTACCCATTTACTTTTTAAATTATTTATTAGTAGTCTTGAAAAAATAACCATGTAGATTTATCTTACATTTTTTTAAACTGAAATTTGTGGAAAGTGCATATAATTAAAAAAAAAAAACTTGTTCTTTTTAGTAAAATTAACTGAAAATAAATAAAATGAAACTCCATTGCTGGAAAAATCTATTGTTGTCGTCAAGCCCAAGATACTCTCAGAAATATTATTCTGTTACTTAAATCTTAGTTTAATAGTACAAAATGTCAACATCACTAAAATCTTGTTCTAAAAACAAGAAAACAATATTTCAAAATGCCAAAGCTCCTTTTTATTGAAAAATTATTGTTTATTATTTTCTTTCATAGGCAAAAATCGTTACTGCATAGACAAAAACTATGGTGGCACTCTTATTATTTGGGATAGAATTTTTGGTAAGTAAAACATACAAAAATCAAACAATTAAATTTACTTCTTTATTCACAGAATGTCAAAGATAATATCCTTGTAATGTTTGTCTTCCAGGGACTTTTGAAGCAGAGAAAGAAAGAGTTATATATGGTCTTACACATCCAATTAATACCTTTGACCCACTCAGGGTGCAGGTAATAAGATTGGTCATACTCATTCTGAATTTGTATTATTTCATAAATATATAGTTAAGAGAAAAATCAGTTATTGAAAGATGGCAGTATATTACACTGCTGCAAAAATGCTTAACTGTAAAAGAATTTGGGAGTGGGACTTTGTTACTCAAGCAAAAAGTTGAATAAAATTGGGCAAATACATTTAAAAACAACTCATTATAAGAATTTTTGAATATGTCTATTTTCTATTATAAAAATTATTTCTCCTTAGGAAACATGCTCTTTCTCAGAATAGACTTGAAATATATTCATGTATTCAGAAGTAGTAGTAACGTGTAGAATTAAAGCTGATCTTGCAGTAAGAACAATTTTTGCTTCCAGGATGCATGTCTCTAGTTAGAAATTCAACATGAGGCCTTTGCCCTGCTCTTCTTAGACCTAAGTGTCAAGAACTATTACAGAATGGTTAGGTCTGACATTACCTCACCTGATAAGACTTGTTGGACTGGTCGAGTTTTCTGTTAGACATATGGTATTGGTTGTTCACCAGCTTCAATGGTTGGCACTAGAGAAATCAAGAATGTCTGTGAGGCTCTGATATGTCAGCATCAGACCATCACAGAGACTCCTGGGGTTAGGGACTCACAAATAAGAAAAAGATAAGAATGCTCAAAGAACTGAATAGGTTAGTTAACAACAGTTCTATACAAGGTACTTGTTACAGCATTCAGTAACTGACAAAACTATAGGTTCATGTTGGGTCTGTTTTTCAAACCTACTTCAAATTTTCACAGAAAGTTGAAATAACAAAAAGTCAACATTGCTGAATTTCTACTATGTGCAGCATGCAGCAAATAGCACGGCACAAATATTTAATGTCAGCATCACTAAAATCTTATGAGACAGAAGCTCTTTTTATTCCCATTTTCTGGTGGAAGAAACTGAGTTCTTCAGGATTTAATTAGTTCAACCAAGTTCACACAGCTTGTCAATTGCGAACTTAACCAAGGTGGTTGTAGACCAATGCTAAGACTCGATTTAACATTTACCCTATACTGCCTCTTTACATAAAAGATTGTCTCAAGTTGCCTTCACATTTAAGTGAAAGGCATTTTTATCACACATACACCAAAAAAGAAAAGCTAATTATCTCTTTTCTAAACTACATTGAACTTCTTTCTGTCTCTCTTGGTTAGACTTTACTAAGAACATGATATGACTCTCAGGAGAACAACAAATATTTTAAGAAACTTTTTAATGATAAGATTTATATGATTTAAAGCAAGTTAAAAATAATACATTGAAAGCTACTGTTCCTTCACTTCACAAAGGGTTTGTTTCCTTACTGTGGAGATTAAAAATAAAACAAACAAAAAAAGTAGACAATTGATCTCTGTACTCTATGAAAGAGCTATCCAAATCTAGCATGCATGTGAATCACAGCAGAATCTTACTAAAATGTAGACCCCATCCAGCAGGACTAAGTTCTACAATTCTGTTTCTACCAAGTTCCTAGATTGTGCCAATGCTGATGTTTGATAAATGAATCTGTAAGTAGTAAGCCTTGGAAATGTACACTCTTGCTGAGGAAAAGTATTCATATTTGAGACAGAATAAGAGAGTTGCTATTGTATACAGTGAGAGCTGCACTAAGAGCTGGATGGTTAGGTCTTGATGAGGCACAATAGTGAGACAGACAATGTTAAGGTCTGTAAACAAGTCTGGATGGCACCTGGCATTTTGCCAGAGGGAGTGGTTAATGTTAAGGTCTGTAAACAAGTTTGGATGGCGCCTGGCATTTTGCCAGAGGGAGTGGTTTGTGAAGTAATGCCAGAGAGCCATTAAGTGTGGAGATTTCTTATTGGTTGACTGCTGTATCTAGTTTATGCTAATTAAGATAAGCTGTGTGGAATGTATAAATATCGCTCCAGTCCTACAATAAAGGGCTCCCACTCCTGCTGTATCAATCTACACAAGTTGCTCGTCACCCCCCAGTTATTTTGCCCAGCCAGCCGGGCTGCAGCAAGACACAGGCATCTATAAGCCACTGGTGAATCTGTGAGAGGAACATTTACCAGATCTCTGCCCTTATATAAACCCTTTCTTTAGTTAGAAATCACCAAGGTTTAGTATCCCACATGCTCTCATATATTGTCAGAAAGGTCAAGTCTACAAGTTAGAATAATTAAGAGTTCTTAAATGTATAAAAATGTAGTTATTTTTAGTTTTATTCAGTTATTTACAGCTAAATTTTTCACTTATCATCAAGGGGCATCAAAAACAACTTGGAATGGACTTGTGTTAGATAGAGGGTGATGATGATGATGATGATGATGATGATGATGATGATGTACAAATCATTTATTTTGGTCTTCTTTGGCATCCAAAAGTTTCAAGGCATTGGGTTGTGCCAAATAAATGAGAAAATACTCTATTTTAAAACATCACCATGTATTTTTCATGGCTTCCATCCAGAATGATACAACAAAATTGTGTTCAGTTTTCAAAAATCACAAAAAATGTAATTATTTTAATATATGTTTTAACACCTAAACACATTACTTTTTCTGTATTGTCATGAATACAAAGTCCCAGGTTAAGTTTCCATCTAATGTTTGCTTTGTCCTCAAAATTTAATCTATTAAATCCCATGTAGTTCCTTAATTGCTTCTTATTCCTTATTGTAATATTTCAAGCAATTTTGAAATCCAGTTTTATAAACACACACTTTAAATTCTTTCAGAGAAAGTGCAAGTATCAGTAAGACCACAAATTCTGAAAGCCAAAACTTGTTTTTCCATTTATACATTTCTATAGTTACTGTGGAACTTATCTCTATAGTCTGTAGCTGATGTCCACACTGTAGGACTATTTTTATTCCAATGGCACATTATGAACATTTTATTTCTATGGCAAATATGGGATATATAGCAAAATTCCTAAGAGCTAACACTTATTGAGCACCCTTGTGTAGGCATATATTTAACTTCTATACATGTCAAATGTAAGTTATTTAAAGAATGTGGATTCCTGCTGTGAGACTCAAAGATAACTTTTTTTTTCTTAGTAAAAACTTATTTTCTAGTTACAGAATATGAGCTATTTAATACTCAGAAGTCTATCATATGAAATGGCTTTGAAATTTCAGAGATTTTATTTTAAATATTCAAACATTTATGCAATCTTTTCATGTTTTCAAGTTTAACCCAAATATCCACTTAGCTAGACTTCAGAAAAGGTGTCATTAGACAAAGATGTTGAGTATACAGGCTGCTAGTTAATCCCTCTTGAGGCATAACTTCATAACTTGCCTTTTTTACTTTGCTCATTTTCTAACCATTTGTTCTATTTTTTATTTCAAAATTGACATTGAGTTAAACTTCAGAAATATTGACAAGAACACAAGTAACACAGAATTTATAGGACAAATTACAATAAGGAATGTAATTGCATATTAAACTGTGTTAATCAAATCACGTATGAAATCTGTACTGAAGAAAAATATATAAATTATATTGAACAATAGCATAGTACATATTTATATTTAATCCTTTTCATTATGTTTTCCTTATTTTAAATAGGTATATTTTATTTTTGTCTAGTTCCACCATTTATTTTACATTTGGACTACATTTTGGGCTACACCTGGATTCTTCCATAAGTTTTCTGTGATATTTAAAGGACCTGGTTGGGGTCCAGGTAAACCAAGACTTGGGCTGAGTGAAGAGATCCCAGAGGTAAATACACTTCATAGACTTGGAGATGGTGGAGATTAGTGTCATCTTGTTCAGTTTAGAGCGAGTCTGCATATATGCTATGGTCATGCAAACTCTTAAAATATGTTCCCTTAGTCAGATGCAGCGTGGTGGAGCATAACTTAAAAAGTGGACACCAGCAAAGGGATGATAGAGGGATTTCTTCAACCAGTTGGATATAAGCTCTTTCTAAAGAGTACAGTTTGGTGAGCAGAGCAACAGAAGCTAGTTATCAGATCCAATCAAGCCTGAAGCCAATGACCTATGTGCAGAGCAAAACTTCACAAATTCATGCAGCTCACATGGAGAGTCCTGGATCACTACAGATGGAGGGAGCCTTAGGAATCATTTGGTCTATCCTTGGTTTTGCTCATGAAAATTCAAGGACCCCAAATAGGTCTAAAGGCACATCAAGACAATGTCATTGTTGGGTTAGACCATGACTATATTCCTTTGATAGTAAAATAGAAGCATTAAATACAGCAATAACATTTAAAACCAAGAATGAAGTTGTAAAGATTTAAACATCCTGAAAACCAAAAGAAAATTTCAATTTTTATCTGAAATCCCCCTTTAGAAAAGAAAAAGAATTTCTTTTCAACCATTTAGGATACATATTATAATTTTTCATTGAATAAATATTATAAATAGAAATACAGGAAAAATAGGGAAAGCAAACTATTGTTGATCTCAGAGATGATACTAAGTATGAAAGTTAACCTATGATATTTCAAGGAAATAAACTCATGTTTCATTTGAAGAGCATTATTTTACAAATATTCCATATAGTTTTGTTTATAGTCACAATTATTTATAAAGCAGGAATCTTGAGATAAGTGAAAAAAAATCTAGTAAGGAAAGATCTAAAAACCTAGTAAGAAAAGATCCATTTATAATTTTTCTTTCTAGTATATAATTCAAAGTTAATATTTTAAGGTTATGTAGGTGCTGAAGTCTGCATTATAATAATAGAAGTGTGGCATTTCTGGGAAAATCAGTAGTAGAGAAAGTTTCTTCCAATAAAATTATGTTTCTCTTTGAGGCATGATTCCCTACACTACTGAGAATCAACTTCCTTTTTTCCTTTTATGTTTTTCTTTGATTAAATATATTCATGGGCATATATTCCCATTTGCAGAAAATCCGACCTATTCTTTTGTGAAATCTTTGTCATTAGCATAGATTGTTGAATCAATTCTTACTTTAATCTTTAAGACAGACTAAATTTCAAACCATGAGACCTGTTAGTCTAGCAACTTACAGACATTTTGCTATCCAGACAGATGAATATTCGAGTTTTTTGGAAAAAAATTAAAAAGGGCAAATACTTCCACTTCTTTCTGCATATCTCTTTTTTAAGATATATTGGTTATTTTTACTTATATATGACAGCAGAGTCAATTTTGATATAATTATGTAAGCATGGAATTATATCTTATTTTAGTTAGAACTTTCCACACATCTCTTAAGTTAGTGTGAATTTCAGTAAGAGGAATAAGTCCTGGAACAAAATAAAATATTTTTTCTTTTCTATCTAGGTTACAGGAAAAGAAGTTCCCTTCTCATCATCTGCCTCTCAGTTATTAAAGATATACACAGTTGTACAGTTTGCTGTGATGCTAGCATTTTATGAAGAGACCTTTGCAAATACTGCCGTGAGTAATATCCATTTAAAATTGGGTGTGAATAAGTTTTCTGTCATTCTGTTAGAAAATGAAAATAAGTTATCCATTATGACTTAGCTCTATTCTTTTCTACCTGTCTGCTATAATTTTGGAAACATCTCACATTTAAACAGGTAAATTAATCCTTCTGAATAGTAAATATGAATGACTTAAATGTATCCAAACTATTGCATAACATATTAGTCGAATCTTATACTATCAATCTGATAAATAAGAAAATTTTTCCACATGTAAATTTCACAATTGCATTAAATATACTTTCAAAGTTATACTTCTCAGCCAAATAAAACCATAAACGGCCTCTAACCTAAATTCCAATAGAGTTCAATTCTGTGAACCCTTTTGAGCTCCACCTTCACTGTTCACAGTACTATTGGCATTCTAGTCTTCTGAACTCCCACCAGAATTGGCCATTAAGCTCCACTTAAAACAATCTAAAGCATTTATATTATTCTAAGGCTTCTGAACCACAAGGTCAGTTTGTCATGCAACAACCCCACTTCTCAGTACCAATTTCTATTTTAGTCAGCTGTTTTGCTGCTGTGACTAAAAGATCTGACCAGAACAATTTTAGTGGAGAAAAAGTTTATTTGGGGCTCATGGTTTCAGAGGTCTCAGTTCATAAACATGAATTCATTGTCTGTAAGTTGGATTCATTCTTCAGGGCTTAATGTGAGGCTGACCATCATGGCAGAAGAGTGTAGTGTAAAGAAGCTCACGTGATGATCAGAAAGCAGAGAGAGAGAGAGACTCCAGTCATCAGATACAAACTGTATACAACAATTTTTTTCCTCTGAATCTTCTTGGATTGTTTCAAATGTAAGCTTTGGGGAGACACCCCAAATCCAAGCCATAACAGTTGCTATATAGGTATTTCTGGGTTTTTGTTTGTTTGGGGGCCTGTGTGTCTGTTTATGTGTGTGTGTTTTTAAATTTTTATTTATATTTTTGCATTCAACTTTAGTAACCAAATATTTCTCCATTTAGTGACCTCAGTTTTGGACAATAGATATTTTTGCATGTATTCTCTTTCTATATGTAATTAAGGAAATATAAAGAAAAAGTTACAGGGAAACATCTAATAGATTTTTCCTGATTGTAGCAGAAAAGAATGATTTGGATTCTAATTTCCATTTTCTTAAGTGCCATTACAAACTAGAATGCAATGTGACAAGAAATATCGTGAAAATATTATTACTGAATATATACATGCTTGTTATTTCCTCTTATATGTGTTTTAACTAATGATAAAACCAATTACACATTGTGCCTTGCTGGTTTGTCTTTAGCTCCCCAAAAAGACAAAATTTGCATGCAAGAATTCCTTTCAGGGGCAAAGCTGTCATAATGGCAGCATGAACCACCTCATTTTTTAGGAGTAACATGCAGATATCAAACTACTAAAATGATTAAAGTTTATATAGCTGTTCCTGGGTATCTACAAAGTAGTGATTCCAGAATCATCCCCTCACTCTGTGGACACCAATATCTGTGGATGCTCAATTCACTTATATAGAATGGCTTGGTACACCCACACTGGAGCTCAGGCCAGGGCCAGGGCCCAGAAGTGCCCCTGCCAACCTGTGTGGGAGTCCAGGCTCAGGGTAGACAAAGGTCCACCGCCCCTCACTCCTGGGAGCCCAGGCCTAACCCACTTCCATCTTGGGACACTGTAGCCATTGCCATGGCATTCTCCACTCAGTAACCTCCACATGGGAGGACAGACAGGGCCTAGAAGCAGCTGCATCTCAGAACAGGCATCCCAAAGCCAGTTTAAGGCTCACCCTTTCATTTGATAGTGGTTGCATTCATTTTTAGACACTTCCACTGATATCTCCAGTTACTTTTGCTATTGCTGCCACCACCTATACTTGAAGTAGCAGCCATCCTGGGACACCAGCAGGGTCTGGAAGCCCAACCCTTAAGGTGAGGTACAGATAATTTTGCATGGATGCTAGAATATTATAGGGAAGACAATATAATATGTCAGATCCGCACTGCAAGAAAGAAGGACACATAGACAACATGAAAAAATAAGAGAGGAAAGTGCCCCAAACAAACCAGGATACTACAATAACAGAACCCATTGACAGTACAGTTGATGAAATGTCAGAGAAGGAGTTCAGAATGTACATAATTAAAATGATGTGTGAATTAAAGAATGACGTAAATGAGCAGATACAGGCAAAAATTGATCACTCCAAAAAAGAGACAAGAGAACAAATACAGGCAACAATTGATCACACCAACAAACAGATAAGGGAGCAAATAGGTAGCAAAAGATTACTTCAAGAAAGAAAAATTCTTTAAAAAAAATGTCAGAAATCCTTCAAATGAAGAAAACAATAAACCAAATTTAAAAACTCAATAGAAAGCATCACTAGATAACTTTGAAGATAGAATGCCAGATAATGAAGACAGAGTATACAATCTGGAAAATAAAGTTGACCACACAGTGAAGATGATAAGAAACCATGAACAGAACATCCAAGAATTATGGGACAGCATCAAAAGACCAAATCTAAGAGTTATTGGGATAGAGGAAGGCACAGAGATTCAAACCAATGGAATGCACAATCTCTTCAATGAGATAATAACATAAAATTTCCCAAATATGAAGAATAAATTGGAAAATCAAATATAAGAGACTTAAAGAACACCAAATGTACAAAATCACAACATATCTACACCAAGGCACATTATAATGAAAATGCCTAACATATAGAATAAGGATAGAATCTTAAAGGTCACAAGAGAAAGAAATCAGATTACATATAGGGGGAGACCAATTCATATCTCAGGAGATTGTTCAACCCAGACCCTCAAAGCCAGGAGATCCTGGAACAACATATACCAATCTCTGAAAGAAAATAGATGCCAGCCAAGAATTTTATATCCAGCAAAATTAAGCTTCAGATTTGAGGATGAAATAAAAACCTTCATGATATACAAAAGTTAAAAGACTTTACGGTGAGAAAGCCCGCACTAGAGAGCATCTTCAGGAAAATATTTCAGGAGGAGGAAATGAAAAACAATAATGAAAATCAACAAAGGGAGGAACTGGCTAATCAAAGGAGAAACCAAATTAAGTTAAAAAACTAAAAATAAACCAAAATGTTGAGGAATACAAATCATATTTCAATAATAACCTTTAATATGAATGGTCTAAACTCATCCAATTAAAAGCCATAGACTGACAGATTGGATTAAGAAAAAAGATCCAAGAATATGCTGCTTTCAAGAGACTCATCTCACAGGAAAAGACATCCACAGTCTGAAAGTGAAAGGATGGGAATAAGTGTATCACTCACATGGACCTCATAAACAAGCAGAGGTTTCCATCCTCAGATAAAGTTGACTTCAAGCCAAAACTAGTGAAAAGGAATAAAGAAGGACATTTCATACTGCTTAAGGGATTCATACATCAACAAGACAGAACAATCATAAATATCTATCCCTGAACAATGGGGCATCTATGTATGTCAAACAAACCCTTCTCAAATACAAGAACCAAATAGGTCACAACACAATAATACTGGGTGACTTTAATACTCCTCTCTCACTACTTGATAGATCTTCCAAAATGAAACTAAACAAAGAAACTATAGAACTCAATAACACAATCAATAATTTGGACTTAACAGACATATATAGAATATCCCATCCATCAATGAGCAAATAGACTTTCTTCTCAGTAGCATATGGATCCTTCTCCAAAATAAACCATGTGATGCCACAAAACAAGTCTTAGCAAATAAAAAAAAAAAAAAAACAGAGATACTACCCTGCATTCTATCTGACCATAATGGAATGAAATTAGAAATCAATGATCAAATTAAAAAGAGAAGCTACTCCAACACCTGGAGACTAAACAATACATTATTGAATGACAAATGGATAACAGAAGATGTCAGGGAGGAGATAAAACATTCTTAGAGGTAAATGAGAATTCTGATACAACTTACCAAAATCTCTGGAAATCTATGAAGGCAGTACTAAGAAGAAAGTTCATTGCATGGAGTTCATTCACTAAAAAAAAAAAAAAAAGAAAAAGTCAACAAATAAATGACCTGACATTATAGCCCAAAGCCCTAGAAAAAGAAGAATAAACCAACACCAAAAGTAGAAGAGGACAGGAAAGAATTAATATCAGGGCAGAAATCAATGAAATTGAAATTAAAGAAACAATTCAAAAAATTGACAAAACAAAAAGTTGATTCTTTGAAAAAATAAATAAAATTGACAAACTCTTGGCCACTCTAATGAAAAGAAGGAGGGAGAAAACTAAAAAATTACAAAATTTGTGATGAAAAAGGAAATATACTCCAATAATATAGAAATTTATACTCCAATAAAATAGGAAACCTCAAAGACACTGACAAATTTCTAGAGGTATATATGATCAACCCAAACTGAGGCAAGAGAACATACATAATTTAAACAGATCAATTTCAAGCAGGGAAATAGAAGATGCTATCAAAAGCCTACCAACCAAGAAAGCCCAGGACCAGACGATTTCACAGATGAGTTCTACAAGACCTACAAGAAATATCAATACCAATACTCTTCAAATTATTCCATTATATAGAAAAGGAAGGAACCCTTCCAAACTTATTCTATGAAGCTAGTATCATTCTGATACAAAAACCAGACAGAGACACATCAAGGAAAGAAAATTTCAGACCTATATCCCTGATGAAGATTGATGCAAAATTTCTCAATAAAATTCTGACAAATTGCACACAAAAACATATTTAAAAAATAGTGTGCCATGATCAAGTGGGGTTCATTCCAGGGATGCAAGTTTGGTTTAACATATGGAAATAAATAAATGTAACTCATCATGTCAATAGACTTAAAGACAAGAATCATATGATTATATCAATTGATGCAGAGAAAGTGTTTGACAAAATATAGCACCCCTTCATGTTCAAAACACTAGAAAAACTAGGGATATTAGAAACATACCT